AATATAAAACAATGAAAAAGTTATACAAATCATATGCGACGCCTGTATTTGTTCAAGTCATAATGTTCAAAAAAGCGAGTTTGTTACATTGCGGTGAAACATGATTAATGGCGTTCACACAAACATTGATTGCTTTTACGCGAACTTATAATGTAAACAATAATCGATTTTTTTGAATATCTGTTTTTAACTTCTTGTATAACATGCAGGAATTATTCAATAAAGGCCAAATCTCTTTGGTATTATTTCATGCCAAATTCACTTTCATAGTGCTCAACTCGGCCAATGTTGAGACGGACCATGGTTTTGGACCAAACGTAAACACCCAGAGAAAACAAGAAAAATAATTAAGGTCGTCTCCCTCTGGGATCCAACCATCCGAGAATTATACAAAAAACGCCCAGAAGAAAACATTGAAATGAACCAGACGGTGATCTGGATGACGTCAATACCATTTGGAGTAAATTGAAAACAAACATCAAAACTGCACCGGAAAATAAAACTCTCTCAGGAAAAGAGGTCATCGAATGGGAGGTCGAGATGTCAAAATACGATGGTCTGCAGAGGCTTATTTGCACATTTAACACAGTTGTTCATCAAAAGATGAAATTCAGATACTTGTGAATAGAAATTTCAGGCTTCCGCGACATAGAACCAGAATTAAGAGCACAAGCTATCAAAGCAACAAGAGCGGAACAAGCACCTGAAAACAGTTAGCACCTGTTAGACCATATTGAGATATGCGACAGAAACAAGTCCTGAAACCTCAAAAACAAGGCAAATTATGGAAACAACAGAGATGTAGATAGTTCGAAGAATAGCTTGAAAATCGCTGCAAGGCAAGAAAAGAAGCACGGATATCAGACAAGCATGCATGCCTGATCGAGAATATCAACGACTGGGTGCTGAGTAGAAAAATTGAATGGAATGATTATATCACACTCATGGCAGGGGAACGAATAGTGAAGATTGCCAGAGATAAATCTTCTATCAAGCACAGAAAGGCCACGAAAACGGTGGAGTGACAATCCACCTCCATAAAGCGAGTTAGGATGAAGAACAGGTATTGTGCCTAATTGGAAGGAAGAAGAAGAATAAATTAACTTTCATAAACTGACGGCTATTGAAGATTATAGCAAAATTAGATGTAAATAAGCTTCAAACAATACAATAACTTGTTGCATTATTGTCGTATGGAATTAATTGCACCACTTAAAAATAAACAGAACGTGTAAACAATGAAATTGAAGTGTGTTGCAAAATGGAATGTCGGCGACCTACAAAGTGTTAATATGTAATAACTGATGCATTTTTGAAAATCGCTGAACAAAATACGATTCTTTAGATACCCAATTAAGATATTTTTCTTAAAAAATTGCAGCTTAGCACATACGTGGGTTATGTAAGCACACATGGTGCAAATAGCTTTTCCAGCCATAATGGAACGTCTACACCAGGAGAGTTAGTTTAAATGATTTAACTCAGTTAGTGTACAAGCAACTTCGGTGATTAACTTAATCCCATCAAGCTATAGTCTGTCGAAAACACGAATCGATTGTGGCACATAATTAATGGCTTGCTTTTGAACTGAGTATAAATTATGTTTCAATTTATGGAAAGGTAACTTTTATTATATTCCCTACTGCTAAAGTAGATAACCAAATGCTTAAAATAATTATATCGAGAAAAAAATGAGTAGACTTTTAAATGGAAACAAATCCAACTTTGGTGCTTAACTTTTAAATAAGTAGACACGATCATTTGGTACATTTGTGGCAACAGGTGGTGGATCTCCAAATCTGTTAAACACAGAAAAGTGGATAATGTTACCTCGTCCAGAAAATGCAAATGTTCTGAAATGTTCTATTTTAATATTATGAACACTAGTTGGTTTATAATATGTCGAATTTTCAATAAACATTCCATGAAAATGTTTTTACAATTGTATTCCCATGTTATTTGAAAAGTATTTTTACTTACCACCAAAATATGCTTAAACAAGCTTTAAGTGAAGCCATTGTTATTCTAAAATAAATGGGATTTACTCTGGCCTTTTTTCAAAAGCTGGGCGTTAGCAATATTCCAGAAAATATATTAAGCAAACATCGATTTCGAAATTTTCTTTTATCCCATGCTCGTGTGTGCAAATACAACTCTTCATTTTTTGTTCGTTAAAATGTCCGATAACTCGATTCGGTATTTTCGAATGTAACAGGAAAATATTTCACTTTCGAGGGGCAAAAATTGCATCAGCTCATCTACTTGAAAGGTTTCGACCCGGATTAATTTATAAATCAGCAAGTTCATTTAAACATTAAAACTGTTATACGCAATAAAACTTTAAGGCAGTAAAACCTTATTGCTAGAACTGAATTTACCCTTAATTAGTGTTATTATGTTAATAGTAAGCTGTTAAAGGCATCTTTTTTGATTCTCTAATGCCTTACAGTGTTAAAAAGTTAGTTTATCATCTGTGAAACAATAGAGAAACTTGTTTGAAAGCTCAAAAATTCACCATTTTGTTTCAGCTAGAAGTGATGGAAATATAGACGGATGTCCGGTTTTATTGAAAGACGTTCCGTCCTCAAATTCGGAATAATATATCAATTTCCATGGCGTGAATAAGAAGCGACCTAAGTAAATTTTTCCAATTCATATATTCGCATAACACACATATTCAACAAATCCCACATTGCGTCCGGCAAACAGTATATAGAAATATCAAATCGAAATAAATCAGTGTGGGTTTCTTATTCCCTTATTCCCTTTTTCAAACGTGTAAGGAATAATACTGTCCTATATCGAATATAGATACACTTATTTCCTCTGGGTCATTCTTTTTATAGATTGCCGTAGACGCTGTCCTGATTGGTCTATTTGTTTTACTTTACTAGGATTTGCGGAAGACAATAAACTTTATGTATTTCGTTTTCTTGGCAAAGGAATTTAGGGACTTGGACTCAAGGTTGAGAGTCGAGTCGAGGATTTTCATTCGGTCAGAACAGAACAAACCGGGTGGACAAATAATAGAGTTACATCGCTTCAAATCTTACTTTTAGCTTGGGGTTTATTCAAAAGCCTTGTATCAATTACTAATCTGGTGAAACGAATTTTTGTAATCGCCTGGAGAATCAGAACAATATTCATTAATTCTTTTAAATTTTCCCTCTGCTTTTAGTCATACTTTATTACAATATTTAGTTCTATAAGCTCGATAAATATTTCGATGGCTTCCGGTATAGCTGCGTATTCAGAATAAAAAATAGTTTGAAAATAATTGATGGATTAAACGAAATGGTTCTGAAACTAAACAGTTTTTAACATGGATCGATATTATTTTATATGGTACACCATAGAAGCTTACATTTTCCAACAACAAATAGCAAACGATGTGGTAGATCATAAATCAACCCAAGATCAGAACTAAATGAAATCACGATATTGCTGCTGATTATTTCAACGGCTTCTTTATAGAGGTGCCATCAAAGCTGCTCAATTCGTTTGCAGCTCTTCCACGGAATCCACAGGGTATGATGGAGGATTTTATTATTGATCAATCGTTATTGCATTCGGAAATATTGTTAATTTCCAATCTTATGGCGTTCCTAGGTTTCGTTTTGTGTCATTATTTTAGAACGTATGGTAATATTTATAAGTACGCTGAACTGGAGGAATTTATACGAAAATCAATCCCCAACTCTGCAAAATTGATACATACATTTTCTTTCAATATTTCATTCAAAATAAGGCTGGAGCCTTTGTTTATTTCCGGGTTTATGGCAACGTGCACCCGGAGTTATAAAATAATGCACTCCATTTGCATAAATGCAATATTTTCTATCGACAGCAGGAAAGCTAAGGAAACGTGAAATCCTAAACGAGAAATCGAGCTGGTTTATCCCAAAAAGTATATTTTAGGATCCTAAATTGCACAATGAGCTATTTTATTGTTTTGCAGATTTTAATGTAGTGGAAGACCAAACAATCTCGTTATAGCCGAACTCTGCAGATTGATGCTGGTTTTGCTGCAATTTACTCTTTACTCCTATCAGAAAATAAATGAACTAAATTTGGAGCCCAGTTAATTTAATTAACCTATTTGAAAGCAATGGAAATATCATTACCAGAAGCTTAAGAGTTTAGTTTTTACTTTTCTAGCTTTAACCAGTTCATTGTGACAAAAACACGATCTTTATTTCGCTTATTTCACGAAAACATTATTTAAAACGCTATAAAACGTGTAGCTCGTCAAGAAATCCCAATTTAAATAAATTATGAACATATTTAGCAAGAAAGATATACTCCAATTTTACTACTACAATTTGCATTGTTCAGTCAACTACGTAGAATAGCAAAAATAATTGTGTGCAACGATTTTAATTAAGACAAAAACAAGAGGACAACAGAGATAAATTTACGTAATTGTCTGTTCTTTATTCAACACGAAGTGATTCATTAGAGAACTTTTTAATTAGAGTAAACTTGTACATTGTAAGACTCTTTAAATTTGTTTAAGATGGACTTTTAGATTTTCGTCAGAAGCAAAATTTGTTTAATTAATTTCAAGACGCTTGCCGATTGGCACCGAAGAACTAACCGTTTTTGCCGAATCATAATGAATGTTTTCCATCTGGCTGGAGGAACTATTGCACTTTATTTTAGTTTAAAACTTCGAGCTATATTGAAAACACGGAATAATTAAACATTTTATTAACTTTCCATTGTGTTTTGTTTTAGAATACTTTTGTCAGTTATCAAAATAGGCACAATAATAATAATTGAAGATTTGATTGTTTTATCGTATTTATTTATTCAAGCACTGTTGTGTGCAGATAAGCTAGACATTCTTGCTTAGCAGTAGTTTAACGTTAACGAGTTTGTTTTATGTTTTTCATCTCGAATATTTGCCTCTACGGAAGGGGTTCACAACTACTTTATAGGTTCTAAATAATCTGTGCTCGAAATATATTGACAATTTTAACATGCTTTTTTGTTTTCAGAATAATGGAGAAACTTTACCCAAATTGGATTACCATAATTTTGCTTGTAGTCATTACAGGTAAGCAAATAAAACCACTTGCAATATTGTAGTATACTTTAATTAAATGGCGTACTTTTCAACGCTAATTTAACAATTTATGAAATAAAAAAATTCAACGACAAAATATAGTCATGTCATAAGAATTCTTATGACTTAAGATAAATTTAACTTCGCATTATCCTCAACGATTCTCTTACCGCTTTGACTGACCATACTTTAATACCATTTCAACAGTGAACGTGAACCTTAAAATAAACATGAAATATTAATAAAATGCCGCATTATGTAAATTATTTACCTTCGTGCTAAATCTCTTGACAAATTCCCGGTTGAATATCATTCTCAATTCTTTCAGCATTAGCAAAGGTAAAATATGCAGGCCTTTAGTGATTCTAAATGGACTTCATAAATTTAGAAAGCGGTCACAGATGTTTTCACCATTACATTTAGGAATGTTTTCCGGGCTTTGAAGCCGTGGTCTATCGGAATTTCTTCCTGACGTTTCGTCCACAACTGCGGTGGACATTTTCAAAGGCGATGAGGCAGTGGGCGAAGTGATCTCCCGTCCTTTCCGACTAAGACTGATTCTTCCAGTTCAGTCAGACCATGGCCCCAAACAACAAAAGTGTCATCAACATAGCGGAACCAACACTTAGGTTTCCTCACGGCTGTGTCCAGAGCGTTCTTGTTTTTTGTCCCCAGTTATTTCCAGTATAAATTTAACAAAAATATATGGAATTTAACGGATTATTTCACTCATCCATAGCAACGCCATAGGGCAGAAAAGGTATTAATAAACGGTAATTCGATAATTTTCAAAAAAACTTACAGCGATAATTTCACGTCGTCATGGAATCATAAAAAATATCACTGTCGACT